TTCTTTAAAAAATATAAATCTTCTCTTTGAGAAGACAACTCATTGGTGCTGATTACTTAACCACAGGGGTTTGTAACCCTGCTGCATATTAGAATCACCTCGGGAACTTTAAAAATGACTGAGCCTTAGTCGCCTGGCTGACCAATGAAATCAGACTCTCTGGGGTGGGGCCTGGCCATGTGTGGCGGACAGTGTTAGAAAGCTCCCTGTACGAGTCCAATGTGCAGCCACAGCTGAGCATCACTGCCCTAAGGAAACGGTATCAAACAGGTAAGTTGTGGTAGGAAGATCATACGGAGAGAGGAAGAAAAAGTGTCAGTTTTTTAATTTTTTTAAGATTTTTTAATTGATTTTTAGAGAGAGAGGAAGGGAGAGGGAGAGAGAGAAAAACATTGATGTGAAAGTGAAACACTGATCAGCTGCCTCCCGCATGTCCCCTGTGGGAGATCAAGCTGCAGCCTGAGCATGTACCCTGACCAGGAATCAAACTGGCAACCTTTGGGGGCACAGGGTGGTGCCCAACCAACTGAGCCACACTGGCCAGGGCAAAAAGTTTCAGAGTCTTGACAAAGGCAAGCAGGATTTATATTTTAACAATCTTCTGTCAAAACCCACATTATAGCTGTTTCTATGTTTGATGGTTTGCCTTTAATGAATATATCTCAGTCTTAGAAGTAAGGTAAATGCACAGATGGGATATTTCCAAGAAGGTATTTCCCAGAAGGCACCTGGGAAATTATCTAAGCTTTTTAGATAACCTCAGAATGATGGTAAAGCTTGGTTTTGTTTAGTTCTTAAAATAGGCTTGTTATATGCAAATTTATTTTTTGGAGAAAGAAATTTTATTAAATATATAATTAAACATAATTATTTTTTTTAAGTTTATAAGTGTTTTCACAAATAAATTCACAAATCAGCCAAAGATTTTTTTAAGGTACTAGGGGTATGACTCTGGGTTTCAAGGGCGATGTTCAGGGGCAGCCTGTATCCTGTGTCTTCTTAGATGGGGAGGGGAGCAGCAGGGGCCAGGACTGTTCACACCAATCAACACAATTAACTTAGTGTTTCGTCCTGTGGCCCGAGCTCCTTTGATTCCCCACTAAAGGTAGAAATGGTGAGCCCAGTAGGGGAATCTAGTGACTCAGTGGACAACCACATGGAAACCCTGCTTGTGAGCCATTTCCTAATCCTGGCTCCACTGAGCGATGGACATGACATTAAATTAGCTATTTGTAGGGCTCTTACCAGTTCAGCATGAGGGGTCAGTGAAGTTGGATATATAACATCACAGGGAGAAAAGCGGAGTTAACTTTATTGCCACTTTCCGCAGAAGAGAAGCCTGGAGCTGGGAGCAGTGTCCCCGTGACAGTTAGAAAGTGTGCAGATGAGACCCAGGTTCCAGTTGTCCAGCTCCTCTCTCCATGCCCCAGGCTGGCTGTCCCCCACCCCCAGCAGCGAGGGCCCTGGGCCCACAGGAAGCGTCGCCACCTCGAACAGATGTGCTGCAGCAAGTCTAACACATGCACTGTTTCCTATTTTTATTGTTTGGATACAGATATCGGAGTCATGGTAGCTTTCACCCTGAGGAGAAACCCCCCAGGTTGGTATGGGGGTTTCTGGGTGTCTCTTGGCTTATCTTGGGGTCACCCTGGGAGGAGATTCAGTAAATCCTAAACAAGAGAGTCTCAATCATTTTATGAAGAGGGAGGGTTCCCATGCGGGAATCCTGGGCAGACTGGAGACGTGGGTGTGATGGCAACTGCCCTGGAGACTTACCAGGTGAGTCTTCCTGGCGGATCCCAATACATGGGCTGGAAACTCCTGACAACCTCTCGTTTGTAAAATGCATAATGACAGCATCTGCCCAGTGATAAGTTGTGGGAAGCTTAGGAGGTAATGTGTGTAAAATGGTGTTCCTGGCACATAGTGAATTTCAATACATTAAAAAAATTTACATGCATTCAGGGAAACATTCTAGCCCATTTCTTTGTCGTCAACATTGCAATCATTTGCAGCACGTTTTGTATTTTACAAGCATTGTTTCCTATTTTAATGTCACCCTGTGAGTTGGGCAAGAGATGTCCTTGTGTCACATGTGAAAGAAACATGCTCATCTGGGTAAAGCATCCAGCCCCAAATACTAGCGCCAACAGGTGGATTAGAGCTGGCCCCTGACCTGAGTCTTGTGTCATCAATTTGCTCTGTACTCCCCAATATGCCAGTGGCATGATTGTCCTGGGCTGGTGAGCTGTTTGTCATCTCTGCTGTGGCTGTCGTGGGGCCCTGGAGGAGAAATCAATTTTATCAAGAAGGCTTTTCATGCTGGGAGTCAGGCTGGGAGTGCCCTTGATGACTGACTCAGGGGTTCGGGCAAACAGCCTTGTGTGTTTGTGAAACAAACATCACCCACCCACAACAGCTGAGCTGGGTGTAAATCCTTAGGACAATTCTGAAGGATTTCTCTGGTTTCCTCTGCAGGGGGTCTGAGTTGTGCCTAGACCAGGCCTTCTCAGCACTGGTCTTCTCCAGAGCAATGAAAAATCTCCAAAAGTGATTTCAGACATCAGTATCTTTGAAGCTTTCATAGTTGCCTCTAGGGGACAGCAGGGCCAAGAGCTTTTGGCTTCAGAGGGGAAAGGGTACTGTCTCTAAGAGGTGGGACTCCTCCCCTCCTCTCCTGACAGGACAGCAACTTCGGGCATCCCCCGTGCCTCGGTCACTGGCTGCCCAATGGGAAATTCAGAATGCTGAGGCCACTGATGTTAAAGATGCTCCAAAAGGAACCTTATGTCTCCCTCTGGTACATACAGTCATTTATTAGAAGCAACTTCCTATTTGAGGATGGAAGTAACTCGGCCTTTTCAAGTAGTCTGCGGAGACCATTGGCCAGGTTCCCAGAATGTCACATTCTGCCTCTGTGAAATGATCATGGTAGTGAGCCCTGGGGACAACAATGGCATTGCAGGCCTGGAAAGTACTGGCCTTGGGCCCTCTGCCTGGTATCTTTTCTTGAAAACAGGGTAGCACAAACTATTATTGAAGTTTCCTTTAAGAAATTCCAGACAAAAGAGATCCCCCTTGCGTATGCTCCCCCTAGATTCCCAGGAGACTTGGATTAATGTTCTCATCACAGGATGATGGCAGATCAAAGGGGAAAATGCTGTCTCCAGGAAGGATGCTTTTTTTAAAAAGCCCTTTTTATACACCAGGCACTGCCTGGGCACTTTGCTTACTTCACCTCACTTGGATCCCACAACAATCCTGTAAAGTAGGTACTTTACTGTTACCTCCACTGTACCCATGGGGAAACTGAGGTTCAGAGAGGCAGTGACTTTCCCAATCTATCCATGCCCAGGGGGTTCAAGAGCCCATTTTTTCCATTCTACTGTATCTGCAGGTTTCAAAGGGACCCTCAGGTACCCCTTTCCTGATGTTTGTTCTTTTTGCAATGTCCTTTACCAGTGGTCCTCAGGCCTCTGCTTGCATACCTCCAGGAATGGGGAACTCACCTCCCACCCAGTGCAGTCCATTTCACTGTTCAGACAGCACTGTTGTGGAGAGATTCTTAATTGCTCACCTGGATCAAGGCAGAACATAAACAATAAATAAACAAATAAGTAGATAAATGAATAAGTGGACATGCGAGTCTCCTAGAAGCTTCTGCTCATTGGCCCTAATCCTATCCCTTAGAATACCAAGAATAACAAATGTTTATTTACCAACCACTAAGTTCAGGTCACCATATGAAAAGCTTTACACTCGTTATCTCGCTTTACACACAAGGACCCTGAAGTTTAGAGATGTTACGTGACCTGTTCAAGGTTGCAAAGAGAGTGCAGGCAGTCCGACTGCGACTGTGGAGGTCCTGACTTAGTCCCTGCACTCTACCCCCTCCTAAGCCCTAAATATGTAAGCAGAAAGTGAAACGGATGGTCCCGGCCCTCTGCGCATTGCTCCAGGACTGGAGAAAGCTCACGGAGGGGGGTTGAGCCTCCGCTGCTCTCTCCTCCCTCCTCCCCTGGGCCTCCCGTTTTCCTCTGCCCCCTTCCTCCATGGGGTCCCCACCAGCCGGCCTGGCTCAAGGCCAGGACTCCCCTCTGAGCTGTGACTTTCTGTTCTTCCACGCAGAGCCTGCTGCTCTCCAACCTCTCAGCCCCAGAAAGGGCTGCTCTAGGGAGGCCGGCAGAGGGTCGGGGATGCTCCTCTTGTCTGAGAAACAGCACACTAAGGCCCTTTCCAGGGATGGGAAGGAGGCCCCCAAATGGCCTCCGGCTTAGGGCTAATAGTAACAGTAACAATAGTAGCTGACATTCGGGTCACACACCATGTGTCAGCTTAGCTGTGTACCTGTGGCGTGACCTCAGTGAGTTCCAGGGCCTCTTGACCTTGGAAATGGCCTGAGAGCCTGGCTCTGAAGAGGGTGTTCGTGCTGCTCAGGGGAACCGGCAGGCTCATGGCCACCCGCTGGTTAGAGCCTGGGCTCTGAAATCAGACAGACCTGGGTTCCAGTGGCAGCTCTGACGCTTAGGAGCTGTGTGACCTCAGAAACATTACCTACCCTCTCTGGGCCTTGGCTCCTCCTCTGTAACATGGGTAGCAGAGGGTTGCTGTATTGCCATCATGATTAAATTATGTCATTTGTTTTGCATGTAAGGCACAGGTGAGTGAGGAGAACTGGGGAAATGCCAGCTAGTGCTGTTAGTATTAGAATTGTGCCTCGTTTAAGTGCGATTGCAGATGCACTTCACAATTTCTTTTTTTTCCCTTTTTTTTCTGATTTCTGTTCAGGTGGGGTTTTCATGGTTTCTGCACAAGTAGAAATGTCTGGATCCCTCGTGGAGCCAATCCTGACCCTTCTTTTGATTCCCATCCTGGCTCGGCTTCCAGGAGAGCTCAGTGTGCGCGTGTGCACATGTGCACTCATTTTCTCCTAACTTATCTGAATGACTCCGAGTTACTATGACTGTGTTGAAGTTTTTCTTCTTGTTTTCAGAAAGGGGATGTTTGGAAAGCTGAAGAAGAAAAAGAATAAAGCAGAGAAGGGGCTAATCCTAACCAACAAGGCTGCCCAAGGTGAGGCATCTGGGGGGGGGGGCTGGCCGCTACCCTGGGCCTGCAGGCCTAACGGGTGGACCCCTCCTTGGCTGAGACTGGGGTTCACTCTCCATAGGAGCGAGGCAGGAAAAGTGCTGCCTGCTGATCACAGGTGCAGGCCCAAGGCCATCTGCCCCAGGATGGCTGTCACCTGGTCACTGAACCAAGCATGGCTGGATGGACACTGCTGGGAAGGGGACCCGTGAGGAAGCAGCAGCTGGATTCAGGCTCCTGCTTCTGTTCTCATTTGCTCTGTGGCCCAGGATAAGCCACTCAGGGGCTCAGTCTCAGTCTCTTCCTTTGTCAAATGGACATGAGATGGGCTGCTGGTTGACCTCACATGGCCACGTGGAGCATCAAGCGAGACTTTGAAAATAAGAGCGAGCGGAGCAGCTGCTACGGGGGAGGCTTTGTATATATTGTTTCCATCGTTGTACCAGTAGGTGTTTCTGTCCCAGTTTTACAAATGAGTTGACAGAGATGCAGACAGAGCGAGGTGGGAAAGGCCAGCTGCAGGAATTTGCAGGGCCCAGTGAGAAACAAAAGGCAAAGCCACTGTTAATAAATGATTGAGGATTTCTAGATAGTGGTTGCAGAGCATTAAGTCAAGTCAGACGAGGTCCTTTTGATCACAGGGCCCTGTGTGGCTGCCCAGACCCAGGAACGTGAGCCAGAAAGCGGTCAGGTTGGAGGTAAATTCAGGCTCCGGACTTTCTGCCCTTAGAAGGGGCTACTTCCTTCTAAAGAGCAAAGCCCGAGTTGCAGTGTGAACTGCGCCAGAGGCCGGCAGATGTCCACTGGACATTCCTCTTTACTGACTCAACTAGGAGCAACTGTTTCCATTAGACAGGTCTGGGGGCCCGGGGGACTTGTGCTGGGGCCCTGACAGCAACCAGTTCAAGGCCAGCTTTGTGGGCCATTTCTAAACCAAATGGGGCTGTAGGTCTGCTCTGATTTCTACCCCTCTCGTCTTCTTGGGGGGCCTGCTTCACCCTTCACTGCTGTCCATGGCAGGTGTCCTGTAGCCTTTGTCCCAGCCTTTGTCCCTGCTTCAGGTAAAACTTAACCTCACAATCAAATAATGAAACTATTCATAGTAATGTGGCACAGGAGGGGAGGGGCATTACATTTTCAGTGGGACAAGGCTTACAGCTCCATAGAAGTAGTTGTCTACTCAGTTAAATTAAAGGAATCAGGGAGTGAGTAGCAAAGGCTTGGGGTCTTTTCTAGTGTCCTTGAAATCATGACACTGTGGTAGGTTTTGGGGACACATGTCAAGGCACCGTCCCCTCCTTCAGGGACCTTATGAAAAATAATATTTACGACACATTTAATAAGACCCTGGTGCTTTTTACTTGACAGGCACTGTTCATTACTCTAAAATATGGATTCCTTTGCCCCATTCACAGAGGTTCAGAGAGGGTGAGTGGCTTGCCCAAAGTCACACAGCTAGTGAGTGAAGAAGCGGGCTCCTGAGCCTAGGTCAGTCTCACACCAGAGCCTGGGCTCTCCTGCCCCCTGGGTCTTCCTCCAGTTAAGAGCCCCTACGGTGCAGGGGAGGAAGGAACAAGCTGTCAGAGATTTAGGGCAGTCAACCCTGGGCATTTCTGAGGAGCTGGCTCCTGTGGCTCATTCTAATTAGAGTCTTCAGCCCACAAAGCAAACAGGGCAAAGAGAATCAGGCTCCTCCTAGAAAGTAAACAGCACCCATCCTGCTGGCCAGGGGCCGCCCTGTAGAGGCTGATGAAACAAAGTCCGGCGAACTGAGCACACACTGGTCTTTCCTCCTTGTCCTGGCCTGGGAAGTTAGGGCTTTTCTGGTGAAATGTTTCTAGATTCCCAAATCCTGTGGTTCCTATATCTATATGTTTGGAGGCATGCTGGCAGTGCCTTAATTTTCTAAAATTCCAGTTATCTTAACTTCTCCATTAATTCGTTACCCAACAAAGACTTATTGGGTACCCTCCATGATCATCCATTCGTTCATCTACTCAATGGTAGTAATGGAGTGTCTGCTGAGAGTTGGGTGCTGTGCTGCGTTCTGGAGGGGGGGCAGCTCTGTGTAGGACTCTTCTGTTTGCCCCTCCAGATCTATTCTGCACCCTTTTCCACCTGTTCTCTGTCCCAGGAGGCAAACCTCTATGGATGCATGACTCGGGTCCCTTCCCCAGCGTGCTGTCCCAGCAGGGGGTCTAAGAGAGGGAAGGGAGTGAGGCCAGGATCTGTGTCCCTCAACAGAAGGGTGGTTGCTGTTCCTTGTAGGGAAGCTGACTGAACCTGACTTCTCCATCTAGTTTCTTGTAACTGCTCTGTCTTCATTTTTGGGGACCTCCGAGCGATAACAGCTTGGCTGCTGTGAGCCCCAGAGAGCTGCACAGCCCTTTGTGGTTTTCCTACACCCCCGCCTTTGTAAAAAAAGTCCTCAAATGGTCCTGCTCCGGATGGGCCATCTGTTATCTATCGGGGCCCTCATGAGGCAACTGCATTACAAGTTGAGAAAAGTAGCATCAAGAGAATAGACTTGCTGAAAAAGACTGTTGGGGAACCTCTTGCAGTGCAGTCAGACAGGGGTTCTCTGGGGAGATAACATTTAAGCTGAAATTTCAGGAGAGAAGGAGCCCAGCAGGGGTGGGCAGAAGAAGAGGGACGTCTGTGAAGACAAATTCCAAGCAGGAGAAAGCTTGTTAGGGTAGAAGAAACTGAAATAGGCCCTTGTGACTAGATAGCAGTGATGGCAGGGACAGAGGGACAGGTGGCCCAGGAGGAGGCGGCGGAAGGCAGGCAGAGCAGAGAAAGTCATAAGCCACTGAGGAGTTTTAAGAACAGAAGCAACAAGAGGTGGGTTTTAAAAAAAATTTTTTTTTATTGATTTCAGAGAGAGGAAGGGAGAGGGAGAAAGAGATAGAAACATCAATGATGAGAGTCATTGATCGGCCGCCTCCAGCACGCCCCCTACTGGTGATGGAGCCTGCACCCCTGGCCTGTGCCCTGACAGGGAATCAAACCGTGATCTCCTGGTTCATAGGTCAATGCTCAACCACTGAGCCACACCGGCCAGGCGTGAGGTTGATTTTTTTTTTTTAAATGGTCACTCTGGATGCTCCATGGTGAGTGGACTGGCGAGAACATAGTAGTAACTCTGGTGTNCCTCCAGCACGCCCCCTACTGGGGATGGAGCCTGCACCCCTGGCCTGTGCCCTGACAGGGAATCAAACCGTGATCTCCTGGTTCATAGGTCAATGCTCAACCACTGAGCCACACCGGCCAGGCGTGAGGTTGATTTTTTTTTTTTAAATGGTCACTCTGGATGCTCCATGGTGAGTGGACTGGCGAGAACATAGTAGTAACTCTGGTGTCAGCAGCATTCCTCGGTTTGTAGCAGCATCTGTTCGATCTCTGCCTCATGGTCACATTGCATTTTTCTTTCGTCCCTCTGCCTCTCCTAGGGAATTGCAATGCATACGATTGCAATTAGGACCCACCCGTATAATCCAGGATCATCTCCTCATCTCAGATCCTTAATTTTATCACATCTGCAAAGACCCTTCTTCCAAATAAGGTCACATTTACAGGTTCCAGGGACTGAGACCCAATAACTTTGGGGAACATTATTCAACCTACATCACCTTGCTACTCAAAATTGGCCCGCAGATGCAGGAATGGCCTTACCTGTGATCTCATCGATAGAAACCCCAGATCCACTGGATCAGAATCTGCATTTTAACATTTCCCAGGGGATCCTTATGCACATTGAATGTTGCTAATGAAGTTCAGGAGGAATACATTTATCTTAAGTCCCATTGTGGCAAGGTTATGACTTGAAAGCATGTCTTTAAATTCATAATAAAGTTGTCTCTCCATTATACTATGATTTAAACATACTCTCTTTTTGGAAACAGAAAATGCATATTCTGTTAAAAAATTAAGATCTGTGTCTGCCGTTCTGTCAGTGACATGTTAAATTTTATGCTGGCAAGGACTGTCTAATTGTTTCTTGGCACCCTTTATGGCATAGCACTGGACACAAGGTGGAGGCTCAGATCACCACTATGTGTATATTTAACAGGGTTTTCTTCCTTTTTTGCTTCTCTAGATGATCAAGGTGAAGCAGAAGCACCACAGGCAGGCCCTTCTCACCAGGAAGGTCTGGGAGGAGGTTTGATTTCTGATGATGCGTCTGTCACTCCTGTCCCCTCAGCTCCTCCAAAGAGAAGGTACAGTGTTGATACAAGCAGCAAGCACGCATTTGTGAGCACCTGTGCCATGTTCCCTTGCAGGCTCTGGGGGACAGAGAATATCACCTAGTCACTCTCTGCAAGGAGCCAAAGGGTCTAAGGAAGACCGAGTGCCATGTCCTCATGTCCAGCTTTTTCTGTGGCAGTGCTGGCCTCTTGATCTGGGCCAGCCTTCAGCAGGCCAGGGTCCTCCTGGCTCTACCAGCTTTCAGTCTTATATCCCCTGAGTTAAGGTCCTCATGTCCCTCACAGTTCAGGAATGACAGTAGCAACAGGAGACAGGTTCAGGAGCTGTCCCTCACCTCCTCTTTAATTCATCAATATGTTGGATGTCTTAGTTTTGTGTCTGTCCCAAATGAGAAGGTGGTTCTTACATGACCCAACAAAAAGTCAGAAGAAACTGGCCTTCTGCATGCAATTTGTGGTATCAGTCAGCTATTGATGTGTACCAAATAACCTCCAAATACAGTGGTTTAATATAATCAGCATTTATGATTGCTCATGAGTCTATAAATTAGTTGGGTAGTTTTATGGGTGTTCGATAGTTACATATACATCACTTATGTGTCTGTCGTCATTTGGCAGCTCTGCTGATTTTAGTCTGGTGGTAGGCTGGTGTAGGTTTGCCCCAGCCGAGACCACTGGGCTCTCCTCCGTATGGTATCAGACCCCCCAACAGGCTAGTCGGAGCTTGTTCCAATGGTGGTGTTGGTGGTATTCTGGGACAGAGTGGCAGCACACAGGTCTCTTGAGGCCTGGGCATGGAATTGGCAAGTCATTTCTGCTGCATCCTATTGGCCAATGCAGGTAGCAAGACTACTGCACATGATAGTAAGAGGAGACTGAATTACAGGGCAAAGAGCATGGAGGCAAGGAAGCCAATAATTGGAACTATCAATGCTTTCAGTCTCCCATATCTGTTTACGTCGATTTCCTATTCATGATAATTTCTCATGTCATCCTCTCTTTTCTCTCAAAGAAAATTTGTGCTTCCCTGTGTGGCAGATCCTGAGTTGTTATTAGGGGGAATTTAAATTATTTTAAAATATCTTTTAAGGGATCACTTGCCATTTATTCACCAGGATAATAGCGCTGAATGGAGGAAGGCAGGAAAAAAAGGAGTACGGAGTAGCAGACTTTTCTTTTCTCCTTGGTCAGAACATTCTCCAGCAGTTGAAATTCTATCCACCAACTAATGCTCAGTTCAGATCCAACCTCTGTACTGAAGTCTTTGTGGCTTACCCCCTCCCCTCAGGAGTTTCTCTCTTCTCTGAACTTCTATGGAATTTTTTTCCTATGACACACCTACTAGTTCTCGTTTTAAATGCTTTGGTCCTCTCTCTTGAATAGACTGTAGTTTTGCAAAGGCCAAAAGGATGGCTAATTCATCTTTGTTTTTCCTCTAACTGAGGAAATCCCAGAGCTTGCACGTGGTTAAATGATTGATACAAATTTGCCATTTTATTAATGAACATCTACCTTTTGGTACCTACCTTTTCCTTCAAGCATTATCTCCTTTAATCCCCATGTGGTAGGAATTATTATTTCCATTTTCCAATGAGGAAATTAAAGCTAACATCACAAAACTGGCGAGAAGGTATCCTAATTCAGATCAGTCAGACAACAAAGCCTTGAGATTTTTGCTACTTTACTCTGTTCTCCACGGGACTCGATTATCAGAAGAAATGGAATGAAGTCAGATGCAAGATGGTATTGTTAGAAGGCAAGAGGATGCATTTACAAGGAGCTCAAGTGCAGTTCACTTCCTACCCGTTGCCGCTTCTGTGACTATAAGAATTCTTCATCTCTTTCTACTATTATCCAATCTCTAAGTCCCAGGTGTGGCACATCTGTTTTCAATTACTTATGACAGTCCAAGTAATGGAAGCCTGGAATGTGAAATCTCACCGAGATAGCCTGTTGGTTGTTCTTTCCAATTTCTCTTTTACCAATTCTTTCCAACACAGTCATGAAACTCAGAATGGTTATATCTGACGGAAATGGCAAAGTGCTCCCATGGAAAGGATCTGCCAGGAGACAAGGGACATCCTTATTGAGACCCGGCTCTGCCGCTGACTTCCTGGGGAAGCTCAGTTTCTTATTCTGCAAAATAAAAAATAAATAATACTGATAACCATACTCACAATAAGAGTTGACACTTATTCTTGCCAGGTCCTGGGTTAAATGTTTACACGTGCATTATAGCATTAACTTGTAGCCATCAGCTCATGTGGTAAGTGCTATTATTAGCTCCACTTAAGATGGGGAAACTGAGTCATAAAGGTTAAGCCCCTCGTCCATTTATACTTCTCTCCCCAGAGATATAAAGAGATTAGGTGAAGAGACATAAATAAAAGCCCTTAGAAACACCTCGGGAAATATTACCGTGGCTTATGGCTATAAAGTATATTCTTTCTTGATGAAACCTGTATGTTAAACTTTCTCTTAATAGATCAAAACTGTTGACTAAGATTCATGATGGGGAGGTGAGATCCCAAAGTTATCAAGTAAGTGATGGCCCTCCCTGCCAGCCCCCCAGCTCTTCTTGCGCTAGCGAAGAGCCAGGCCCAGGGCGCACACGCGCTTTGTGTTGCAGATCGCAATAACTATCATCGAGGCCCGCCAGCTGGTGGGCGAGAACATCAGCCCTGTTGTGACCATCGAGGTCGGCGACGAGAAGAAGCAGAGCACAGTGAAGGAGGGAACCAACAGCCCGTTTTACAATGAAGTAAGCCACGGGGTCACCTCTTCTCTGCCACCACTCTCCCCACTTGTAGCCTTGAGCCAAGTAGAAACCTGTGCCCCGCATGTCTGCCCCCCATCACTCATTCAGCCCATGGCAAACTCTCCAGGCCTTCTTAACAAGCAGCCCCATAAAGCTGAGCAAAAAGATAACGGAAGGGATAGGTAAGAAATCCCTATTGATTTTAAATACATTACTATATGTTTATTAAGGCCCATTTTCTTCTTTCTTACAAGCTCATCTTCATCCATTGTAAGTTCTGCGTTTATGTTGAAAAATGTGTTGGCTGTCGGCTAGTGAGAGGACATACATTCTTTCGCACAGCGAGACACTGGAAATTTACTTGCTGCTTTTGAAACAGGCCTGCTGCCCTGGAAAGTAAAATAGTCATATTTTTCTAAGCCGTGTAAAAATTGTAAAGGAAATCATCAAAGAGAGACATGAAGCTTGTAAATATTATACTACATTTTCCTTTGAAAATAAGAAGATTCCACAGTAAAAAAAAATGGTGAAAGATACAAAGAGTGTAAAATGATATTGGGTGAAAAATCTCTTAGTTCCCCTTCTTCCAGGCAGCCATTCTCACCAGGCTTTTAAAAAATGCCGTTTTATAGCTATTTCAGGCATGTACAAGAGTACAAATAAATATTGTACCCAAATGGCAACATTCTACACACACTGGCCTGGACCTTGCTCTTCTCACCAATGTGCCTTGGAGATCAGCCTGCATCTGGATGCACAGCTCAGCCTCATTTTCTGCTCATTGCTGTAGTTTCCCATTGCATCGATACACTGGAATTTACTAAGCCAGTCAATTTCTCATTGATGGATATTACAATTTCTTTCAGTCTTTGGCTACTACTTATAATAATACTGACCTGGCATAAACTGGGGCAAAGAATATAGGCATTTAAAATTTTGATATCTCCAAATCGCCCTCCAAAGGGGTAACAATTTATACTCGAATAGTGTTCAAGGGTGCTTGTCTCCCACAGACACCATGAATTATCAAAAAATGCAGTAAACTCTTAATTATTTTTCTGATGGGAGTAGTAATTGAAAAGGAAGGCAGGAGAGCATGGATAATGAAATGCCTAGAAAATACCCAAATCCCATTAGAGCTATTAATACCTTTCCTCTTTATCACCCCTGCCTCTGAACCTTTTATAGTGAGTAAAAGTGGCAGTTGTCTCCTTCATGGTCCTCTCCCCTCCTCTGTAATATCTTTGGTGTGGATGTGTGTGAAAATGCTTTCGTGCAAAGCTCTACAAATTTGTTAATTATTAGAATTAGTATTTGCTTTATGCATAGAAGTCCTGGGTCTAATGACACTAACTTTGGCCCAAGTGTAATCTCGTAAAAACATAAAAGTTGAAGTAAATACCTTTGTTATAGTTGAACTAAAAACCTTTGGTACAGCTTTTGATCCTAATTTTTAAGCCCAAAATTCCATTAGATGTTGAAGGAGCTGGTTAGTAGGGACTGGGGAATATTTCCCAGCTAGAAAAATGTGTGTGGCCTCGGAGGTCTAAGAACCTGTGTGAGGCAGTTGAGTTTGAATGTGAAACTCAGCAGAAGGCAAGAAACATTGGAACTAATTTATTGGTCCAAAGGTACCCATAGCATCTCATATATCAGAGAATGAAGAATTGCATGTAAGAGAATTTTGCACATAAAAAAAATTCTGAACATTTAAAAAGCTTTGACATATATATGAAAACTTCCTGAAATGTTACACTTTTTTTTTTTTTCCTTAAACAGAAGACACTGGATATACTGTAACCTTTCATCGATACGTCTCTCTTAAAAAATTATTATTTATTTAATTTTTCAATTACAGTTAACATGCAACATGATTTTATATTAGTTTCAAGTATACAGCATAGTTGTTAGACATTTGTATAATTTACAAAGTGATCCCCCCATAAGTCTAGTACCCACGTGACACCATACATAGTTATTACAATATTATTGACTATATTCCACACCGAGATACTTTTTTCACCCGTCATTCTGTATAGGTAAAATGAATAAATAAAAGATTTGATGATATCAAGGCTTGCAAAGGTGTGGAGAAATGGCTGTATTTATATGCTGCCAGTGGGAATGTAAAATGGTTTAGCTCCCTAAGAAAGAAATTTTATGCTATCTACTAAACACTTACATGCATGTAAACCATGACCCAACAATTCTACTTCTCATTTTAGAGGAAAACTCACATATATCCTGTGCAAAGATGTGGTTGGTGGCATTCTTTATTTTTTTATTTGGAAAAAAATTGAAAGCAAGTTAAATGGCCTTCCATAGGGGATGGCCAATCAGTTGATGATATATACATTCATGCCATTGAGGCTCATGCCTGCAACTGGTTAGAACAATGCACATTTAAATCTACTCCAGGGACAGGGTTCTCAAATGCAAGGCTGGGATTTACAGTCAGAATGAACTTTATGTTTTATAGTACTTTGTCTTCGACTTCATTGGGCCTCAAGTGCATCTTTTCGACAAGATCATCAAAATCTCAGTAAGTATGTCCATGGTGGTGGGAGTGGGAGGAGGCTGGAGAGATTCTAGGCCTTGGGAACTCTCAGGGGCAGCTCAGCCTGCTTAGGAGAGAATAGATTCAGGAAGGTGAGTGCGAGCTGTTGAGTTTAAAACCAGCAGGATCGAACTTGAGTAACCAGAATAGAGGAGTTCGGGAAGGCAAACCTTTTCAAGAAAATCTGTGCTTGTGGGAGGCAAGTTGCAATCCACTATCAAGCAGTCATGAATTGAATTGTGTAGCCTACTAACGTGGGACTACGCTTCAAATGACAATGATTGCCATTGTTGGGTTGGTTTCTTTCTTTTTATGAAGCAAATGTTAGTGTTTCTCTCTTGGAGTGATCTCCACACTAATGACAGTTAATCACATCCCTTCCCCTCCTCGTTAGTAATAAACAGAGAAATAGAAAGAAAGAATTAGGAAGGAACCGAATGTATCAATGATGCTGGATCAGAGGGTGTGATTTGGAGCAAATGGTTACCACTTAGCTTGTTAATAGTTAGTTGCCTTTGAGTGTAGACCTCCAGACCTGCCTATGAGGGGGATCGGGTCTGCTGCGTAGACCCTTCCTCAGCCCTGGCAGGTGAAGTCCTTCCTACCTCCACAGATCAAGTCTGAAGAGTAGAGACAGGGAGAGCTTTCTGGTCCAGCCAGGTGTCTTATCCAGGTTGGCCCACCACCTGGAGGGCAGGAGTGGGAAGGTGTATACTAGCGTTGAAGCTGCACTAGTCCACATGAGAGAATACAAACAGGATCATTACCAACTTCACACCACTGCGAAAGGGCAGAGACCAGTGGGGGACAGACTGCATGTATCTCACCAGTTGCAGAAATCGCTGCTTCTCCCATGGAGAGGGTAGTGAGGGTGTTCATGCCTGAACGTGACGTGGCGGGGTGAGGGGTTGCAGGGCACATGCTCTCCTCCAACTTGTTCTCAAAGACAGAATTCCTACTTTACATACCAACATAAGACGTGTTGAGGAAATGTTTTCCTAACAGTGACACCAACTCTAATGAGAATTGTGAAGATGGCAAAACTTGTCTCGAAGACTTCCTTGCCTGCCTTTATCATTCACTCACCTTTATTTTATTTTTTTAAATCCTCACTCGAGTATATATTTTTTTCCATTGCTTTTCAGAGAGAGTGGAAGGAAGAGAGAGAGAGGGGGGAAGAGAGAGAGAAACATCAATTGGTTGCCTTCTGCATGCACCCCGCCTGGGGCTGGGGCTGGAGCCTACAACTGACGGACATGCCCTCTTCTTTATTTTAATATTATGTTACACACACACATACACACGCACACACACAGTGTATTCTATATCAGTCCTGCATGAGGCTTAGGCAATAGTGAAATTATGATATTATCTTTCCCAAGGGCACTTGCAGAATGTGACTCTTGAAGAATGAAAGTTATCAAGAGCCAAACATTCGTCCTGTTTAAATTTCAGGCATGATGACAAGTGGTGCAGAAGGTATTTTGGGACCTGGGACATTGCCCAAGACTTCGTTACATTGCATAGCTCAGGCAATGACCTGTTTGTGAGATTCAAGCTCCTAAGGGACTGTCTAGATTGCAAATAAACAGTTAATAGCTAGATTTTTATACTGTATCATAGACAAGGGTCATGAGTCTCTCTGGGGCAAGTGGGTTTTTAGAGGATCAGAGCTGGTATTGCCTATCTCTGGTCCTCTAACTTTGAAGAAGAGAACACTTTGGTCTCCCTAAATGACCCTTCAGGACAGAAGCCAAAGATTTTAAAGGGAAAATTCCCTTGAGGAGGAAGTACTTAATACAAGTTTTCCGCTAGTACAAGAACTTTAAGTCAGCATGCCTAGAATAAAATGAGCATTGGAGAAGAGGGAGGAAGTGCTGGAAGCAGATGCTATTGGGGCAGACCCTGGTGGTGCCAAAGACCATCTTCCCTCGACAGTGGCACCAGGCATGCAGGGTCCCCAGCACTCAGTATATGAGATGCCCCAGAGTTCTAGCAGTCCAATGCCTGACCACACCAGTTGCCTGGCTCTCACACTAGATAGATTTCAGGAAGCCTCCAGTGTTATTTAAAGATCTGTTTGGGGCTCTTGCATCCTATCATGCTCACTGGGACCCAGATGCCTTTGGTCTGAGAATAGCTTGAGTCAGGCTTGTGTTCTTGCTCAGGCCTTTGGGAAGCCACAGTAACAACTGCAAGCATGGAGGGCTTGGATTGAACTTGGTGTGTGTGGCCTTAAATAACTCTTTTATCAAGCCAAGCTGTCCTTGCTTCCCCTCAGTTCTCTAATACCCTTGCAAAGTTTGGACAAGGGAGAAATAGTGGAAAGGGGGATGGGAAGAGCTGTCATGTTTTCATTTCTTGAAGTCAATTGAATTTGCTTCTTACTATCTCTACCAGAGGAGCTGTTTAGAAGCTACAAAAGTCTCCTATTTATCTATCATTCAACTGGTCAATCATTCCTTAATTCATTCAATGTTTATTGAACACCTATTATGAACAAGGCCATGTGGTGGGTAGAAGAGACTAGGAAACTCTCCTTGATTTGAGGGACTCATAGGATTTTATAATTAGAAGAAAATTTAGAGATCATCTAGTCTAACCTCCAGTAGGTGCAGGAATCCTTCTCTGCCACCTCCATGACATGATATTCTCGGGCTCTACTTGATCATATCCAATTTTTTAGGAAAGCCCATTCCATCACTGAGAAGTTCGGTTATAAAAATTGTCCTTATGGTGAGCTGAAATCTCTCTTCCTATAACTTGGGATCTACACTGGGAACCTAACCCCTCTTCTAGATGGAAGCATTTCCAAAATCTGAAGACACTAGGTTACCATTGCCCTTTGTCAACATCTCCACTTTTTTCTTTTCTGGGTTAAAGGTTAAGCTCATCCTGATTCTTCAGCAGTGTCTCATACAACATTGTTTCTGAACCCAGGGCCAGCTCTGACACCATCCTTTAGAGCTTAACTCATCTTTATAGCATTAGCATTCAAATGTGCTGCTGTAACCAGCCAGGACCTCTACTGTCTTCTGATTAGACAAAATATTGATAACAGCTGTCTCCCTTGTTCTGACTGTTGTACATGTCCATAACTTCTAGAGGTCATATGTGATGAGTTGTCTGAGAAACTAGTGAGCAAAGTGCTGTGGGAGTTTAGTGGAGAAAGGGAACACTTTCAGTTGTGGGGACTCAGGGGGGTCTGCTTGGAGGAAGCAACATTTGCTCTAGACATTGAAGGATGGGTAAAGTTTCAGCAGGCAGGGATAGGTGTTGAAGGGTTGGTTGCACAAAAGTTCATTTTGGTTAAAAACAGAAAAAGAACTTTCAGACAGTGATGTTTGTTAGGTGTCCTTCATTAGAGGGTTAGCTGAAAACCTGCTAGGACAAAGAGGTACTTCTGGATGCCCTTTACAGTCCTGAGTTTTGGTGACCAAATGTCATTGTGCTTCAGAGGAGAGTGAAGGCCAGACAAGGGTCAAGGCCTAGAATGCTCTTTGAGGTGTCAGAAACCTACTTCACAGGTCTATCCTCAAAAAGAAATGTAGTTCTGGGCTCACTGCTCCGTCTCTCCTCAGGTCTTTCACCACAAGCTGATAGGAAGCATACTGATTGGCGCTTTCAAAGTGGACCTGGGCACCGTGTACAACCAACCTGGTAAGAAAGCATTGCCTCCCAGTATCTTTCTTACTCTTCTCCAGTGTACCCACCTGGAGGTCAACTTATTTATTTGCTCATCCATTTAACCATCCATTCAATAACACAGCACCAATTATAGAAAGTTGAATAAGATATGGCTCTTCAGTTTTTGATTTAATGATAAAATTAACTTATATCTCCATACTTCTGGGCAGGTTTTTATTTATTTATTTAGTTAGTTATTATTTTCACAAATCTGTCTAATTTAGTTCTGTGAGACTCCATCAAGAAAGACAGGAAAGTGTTGAAGTTAAGAATATGGACTCTGGAGCCAGATTGTCTGGGTTCAAATTCTACTCTGCTCGTTCCTAGTTGTGCAACCTTGGGCAAATGGTTTGGCTTCTTCATGTTTCAGTTTCCTTGTGGGGATAAAATAAGACTTTCTTCACAGGGTTTTAGAGGATTAAGTTAATAAATATACATAGAGGGCTTAGTGTAGACCCAGCAGAGAATGACCGTGGTATGCCACATAAGGATTTGCTTTAATAATCATTATTATCCCTGATTTATAAGAAAGTGAAACCCTGAGAAGCTAGGTAATTTGTCCAAGGTCAAGAGCTAATAAGTAATACAGCCAACAACAAACATAGATCTTCTTATGAAAGGTCTCTTTTCTTCAACTGTGATTCACTCACATGACCAGGGATCCAGGTCATGTGAGTCTACTTCTTTACCATCCGCTGTCATGTGGAAATGTGCCCTCTGTATTGCCTGGTCTAACTTTTTTTTTTTTTTATAAGCCAGAAGTATAGATTTATGTATGAGATTTTGAAGTTTGGACTTACAGTGTAGGCCAAACAAAAAAATCCATGAGCCACATTTATGACCTGTGAAATAATATGTGACTTCTATACTCCATAGTGTCCTCCTATCCCATCAAAGCTAGAAGCCTGGCTAAGGAACTTCCACTAGGCTGAAGCCTTCCCAAATACCTGTGCTGGTTGGAGAAAAAGACAGGGAAGAGAATGGGAAATAACGGAGAGAAGGGAGAGGGGAGAGGGGGGCGGCTTAAGACTTGGAAATAGCCCAGATGAGCTGCCGCCTCAGTAGAATGTGGGAGACCTTGGCTGTGGGAGGGAACTGGGTAGGGCTGCTGGGTCCATCTGTGCAGGATTTCTGAGCTGACAGGACACTTTTACAGGTCATCAGTTCTGTGACAAGTGGGCCCTGCTCACAGACCCTGGTGACATCAGGACTGGCACGAAGGGATACCTGAAGTGTGACATCAATGTGATTGGGAAAGGCGACGTCCTGAAGACCAACCCTAAAACCTCCGATGCTGAGGAGCAAATAGAAAAGTGAGACAGATGCATCCAGGGCTGAGCCGTGGAAATGTGTCCCAATTTCCATGCCTGTTTCCCGCCCTCCCTTTCCTTATGGGTGCATGAGAATGGCCAGATTTACGGCTTGTCCACCGGGATTCCACTCTGTCCAAGGCACCAAGATGCGCCTTATTGAAGGTGTAGCTACCCATTGGGAGGTCGGTTTCTAGGACAAGAAAAGCCTGTCTTCCTATAATAATCCATAATAGGCAAGCTGCTGTTGAGCTTATCTGATTTATTTGAATTTAGCTGATTTTCCTTTGAAAGGATTATAATTTCTACCACTGGTTTGTAAAGATGGGGAGACTTAATGTACCTCTTTTAAGGTGCAGCATGGGAGACAGTGTTTATTTTATAATTGTAGGATCTAAATGAGTCTGCATTCACTCCAATCATGCCCTTTGTTGTCGTTAAATGAGGAAAAAAACTCATTTTAGCCATAAATCCTAATCTTTTCAGATTTCTGTCATGTGTCAGGATCCTTCTTTATGCTTCCAAATTGCTTCCAGCTTTTCTCTCTATTCTTTGAAGTGAGAGCTCTTTTTTATTTTTTGTTTTTGTTCCCCCCTCTAAGGAATCTTTTGATCCCTCAAGGGTTTCCATCAGAGAGACCCTGGGCCAGATTCTATGTGAGACTCTACAAAGCAGAAGGGTTGCCCAAAATGAACTCCAGCATCATGGCAAATGTCACCAAAGCATTTGTGGGTGACAGTAAGGACCTTGTGGATCCCTTCGTGGAGGTCTCCTTTGCTGGGCAGACGGTGAGGAACTGTTGTCACCAACAATGACAAGCCTTGGCCAGGACCCTGCTCTTTACCAAGGACATTTCTAGTCAAGTGAAATTGAAATCAAGATTAGGAAGTGCCTTGAGAGAAAAGGCTAGCCACAAAGAGGCACTGAGTCACAGGGCAAGAAGGAAAGAGAGGATTACTCACTATCCATGGGAGATGGTGGAGAGGAGCCATGGGGGATCGTGGTTCAGGACCCAGGCAGACAAGCTGCCTTTCTTACCTCTGGCTACTTCTCTGAGCTGTTACCCAGTCCCCAGGCCCTGCAGAATGACCACCCTCCTCCCAATCTGCTCCACAGTCTCCCCAGGTAGTCCCTGTCCTGTGAAAGCCTAGACACCCTGTTCCCTGCTCAAGAGCATTGGAAGCACCAGGACCTGGGCCCATGGTCGGAGCTCAGTCTTAGTTGGCTGGACTTTGAAGCTTCAGCTGACACACATACTGTCTCTGCCCTTAAATACATGTCTACCCTGACCCCTCCATTTGGCAGGGTGAACACTGGAGTATTTTTACTGAGACTGCCTTGGTGGTCATATAGGACATTAACTCCATTTTCTGATGAGGAAACAGGCCCAGACTGCCTAAGTGATTTGCACAGATTCCTACGTTTATAAATGTCACCAAGGGTCTAACTCTGTCTGCCGCATTCCTGGAGGTGCACGGAGCAACTGTTGTTCATAACACAGCTGTTAGTTTCACCCCAGTCCCAGGATGAGGATGGGGACTTCCTGAGGGCAGGACCTGAGACTTACTCACTTTTCCCCCCAATGCCTAGCAGAGTAGGACATCAGTAATGTTCGCTGGGTGTAACTGATTTCATGGGTGCTGGGTGGACGAAAATTCATTATTTTCTATGTCCAGTGGGTTTGTCGAGTTTGGGTCAGCCAAGGACTGTTTCGTTTCTTTTCATGCTCACATCTTCCTGGCTTTGCTTTTAGGGGCAAACCACAGTGCAAAAGAACTGTGCCGATCCTGTGTGGCACGAACAGGTGATCTTCAAGGAAATGTTCCCTCCCTTGTGTCGGAGGGTGAAAATCCAGGTTTGGGATGAAGGCAGTGTGAATGATGTAGCACTGGCAACCCATTTCATCGACCTGAAGAAAATCTCCAACGAACAGGATGGAGATAAAGGTAAAGCCTCACATGTCTGACTTGGACATAGGACCTTGAAATGATCGGTTTGGAGGCCTCATCTTTAAAATGAGAGGCTTAGAGCAGGCACTGTTAGGCCCCTTCCATGTTCTGTGTGATCTCTGATTTAGGTTGGTTTAGGGCAGTGGATGGAGCCAGACTTTGGGAGCCAGGAGGCTTGGTCACCATCTCAGGTCGTCCAGGAGCTTCACTGTGTGTCCTTGAAGCAGTCACTTCCTCTCTCTGGGTCTTAAGTTTTTTGTTTTTTTTTTAATATATCTTTATTGATTTCAGAGAGAGGAAAGGAGAGGGAGGGAGATAGAAACATCAATGATGAGAGAGTCATTGATCGGCTGCCTCGCCTGCAACCGGGGCATGTGCCCTGACCGGGAATTGAACCCCAGTCCCCTGGATCCTAGGTCTATACTCAACCACTGAGCCACGCCCTGCCGGTCTGGGCCTTAAGTTTCTTAAGTAGAAAATGAAGTGTTTAGAGTAGATCACAGGTGGGCAAACTATGGGCCACAGGCCACATCTGGCCTGCCACATATTTCTGCATGGCTCATAAGCTAAAAATGGTTTTTACATGTTTAAATGATCCCCCCCAAATTGTGCCCCCAACTCACTGATGGGAGCAGGGGAGCATGAGTAGTGCAGGGAGGTGCTGCTGAGGGTGCACTGGGAGGGCCAAGAAGGGAACAGAATCCCAGCTCATCCACTGAGTCAGTCGAAAGAGTTTCCACCCAGGATAAATCTCTTTATTACAAAACCCAAGTCAGTAAGTGATGATTTTCTAAATATCCCAACAAACCCTCTCTCCTTTAAACCCAAGGCAATCTTTCTCTGCGCTACAAGTCTGTGCTGATTGATGTATATATTTGTGTGTGTGTGTGTGTGTGTGTGTGTACATATACTGAAGGCTTGGCATACGCGGAGGTCCGGATCACGTTGCTGTGCCCCTCACAGAGTGACACCTTGGGAAGGCCTCAATAAATACCTATTGTGTAACTCCTCCTGTTACGGAAAGGTTTGCCACAGGATGCTTTATGCAACAAAGCATGCTCTTCCTGTCTGCAGATTTCTCAGCTAGATGTTAACATGTTTTACCCACAGCTTTTCAGGAACATTGCGATGGTGTTCAGGGAGACATAACAGTGTTTAAAAAGTAGACATCAGGGGCCATAAAATCTTTCTATTCTTCTTAACACAATATCCCTGCCTCTTAAAATTTACTCAGTGGAAGGACAGAATCTAGTCCATGGGGCTGTGGGTCAGGGAAAGGAAACATTTAGGCATAAAACTACTGATAACAGTAAAACAAACAGAAATATCTACTTGTCAACAGTGGGGGAATTGTTAAGCAAACGATGATACATATATTTACTGAGAGCAATGGCTAATGTTCTTAAGCTCTTCCTAAGGGCCCATGTGAAGCACTTAATAGATATTATCTCTTTTAGTCCTGATAGGTGAGATAAGGACTGTTAGCACCTTCATTTCACAGATGAGGAAACTGAGGCATAGGGAAGTTATCACTTCCGCCCAGGGTCACACAGCTCGAAAATGGCAGAGGTTTGAGACTTGAACCCAGGCTGTCAGGCTTCAGGATGGCCATGCCATGCCGCCTGGCAAAATGGAACATTCTCTTGCCAAGGAGATGTTCACATAGATACTGTGCATTTTCCCAGACGCTGTGTATTAAGAAAGGAAGATACTTATGCTAATAGTAAATTAAAATCATAAGGTCTTTTCAGTTCTATGTTCAGAACATATCTCAGAACATTTACTTCTCTCAGTCTCCACTACCATCATCCTAGATCCCACCGATGTCTTTAATTTTGATGATGAGGTCCCCAAACCAGTTTGCCAACATCCATTCTTATACCCATCCACATAGCAGCCAGACTGATCTTAAAACACACATCTGATTATATCTTTACTTAAATCCCTCTAAAATATTCCCATTATTTCTAAGATAAAGACCTTGTCAAGGTCCCCAAACCCACTCATCTCTCCAAATTCATCTCACACAACTTGTTGTCTGGACTCAAGCCATCTGGCTTTCTCTTTCATCTTCTATCTCCAAGCTCCTTTCCAGAAGACAGATGTACGCTGTTCCCTCTACTTAGAAATCTGTCTCCCATGTCCAGCCCGGCGTGGCTCAGCGGTTGAGGGTCGACCTAGGATCCAGGCGATCGGGGTTCGATTCCTGGTCAGGCACATGCCCGGGTTGCGGGCTCGATCCCCAGTCGGGGGAGGCAGCCGATCAATGACTCTTTCATCATTGACATTTCTATCTCTCTATCCCTCTCCCTTCCTCTCTCTGAAATCAATAAAGATATATTAACAAAAGAAAAAAAAAGAAATCTGTCTCCCCTCCCCTCACCCCCCCACTCCTCCTCATGCTGTATCAGCCTGTTATTTGTTCTTGCAGCACAAGGCGTTTCTCCTTCATAGCATCTATAATGTAATAATTTGTTTAATGCTTGTATCTGCTTTATTCTCCACTGTGCTCTGTGTTTAGAGTCTAGCATGTTAGGAGTCCATAAACATTTGATGAATTAATGAACAGACATGGATGCACATGAGCATTCACAATATTATTTCAACTGTGAACATGTGTAAACATTTGCAGGGAAGAAAGACTAGAAAGAAATATAGCAAAATGGTAATTGTGGCTGTCTGTTGGCCATAGGATATCCGGTAAATATTTTCTCTTGTCTTTCAGTGTATTCTACATTTCTAAGTGAACGTGCACAACTTTCATAAAGCAAAAAATAATCAACTTGTAAACATAACCATGCACTAAAGTTTGGGATCTTCCTAGGCTTCCTACCTACCTTCGGACCTGCCTGGATTAACCTGTACGGCTCGCCCAGGAACCACAGTCTGATGGACGACTACCAGGAGATGAATGAAGGCTTTGGAGAAGGCGTGTCATTCAGAGGCAGAATTTTGGTAGAAATTGCTGTGGAAATCCTCTCGGGAGGGGCACAGGAGTCTAAATTTTCCAAGGCTCTCAAGGACCTCAAGTTGTCTTCAAAGGACAAAGACTCCAAATCTTCCAAAGGCTCAAGTAAAGACAAGGGTGACAAAACTGACAGTGGAAAGGCCCAGCAGGCTTCAGACAAAAACAACTCAACTGAGGTCGAGGTGGAGCCTTTTGATGTACCCCCAGAGGTAGGTCTGAGCACTGCCCCACTGCACACACCTGAGAGGTGAGGAGCAGCACCTCGCAAAGAGGAGCAGCACCTGCCACAGGTTCCCAAAGGCCCACTGAGGTGTCACTGTCCCTGCAAACATGTGTTGGCTCAGCCCCATTTTCCTGGGTGGATCCTCTGCCTCTTCCTGCACACATCACAGACATGTGCTGATGATTAATTCCTTCAGTGTCCCCCCAAACACAATTCCCATAGAAACCAAAGTAAAAGAGAAATAAAAGTTCTCTGGAGAAGCTGGTGGGAGTGGGTGGTGGGGTGATTAACAACTATATCTGTGGCCGAATTTTGTTTAGCTTTGTTTTTAGCTCAGCGTATGCTCTGGATGGGAGGTAATGTGGGAGAAGGGATGAAAGGGGGAAGAGTGGGTGACAAGCTGGGACACAAGAGATTTGAGAAACTTATTTGCCTCCTCCAAGCCTGTGGGGAAATCACAACTCAAGGGAATGCTTATCTTTGCTTATTACTCAATGTCAAGCGCATTAGCATTTTCCAGCCTGGTTCTATTATAGGAAAGAGATCTGGGGCTCTGAGATTAACACAAACTGCTAATAACCTCGGCTGTTCAGTTTAGCAGCAGTACTTCGTAGTTTAAGCAAATGAGAGAACTTTATGTTTTGTTAATAGCAGAGGTGGGTGGATGCCAGCTCTCAGCTTGGATGATTCCGCCTCTGGGAGTGTGTTTCTCAGGTCAACCAGGCAATCATTTCCGGTGGGGAAGGGAGGTGATGGCTGGCCTCCCAGAGCTGTCCCTTCCTAGGAAAGTCTTGACAGACTGAAGCATGTGGGTCACCTTAGCCTTGGAAGGTCTACTTATTTTTACTGCTGGGATCTACTAAATCTTGAGAAACTGTAGGGGAGAGGTTGGAGCACATGGTTGGAATTTTGAGAGTTGGTTCTTTTCAAGGCTCTGATAGTAATAACACCTCTTTGTGTTTCAGTTTAGTTATCAACAAAATGAGGGAGTAGTATTCCCTCTGTGGTAGGCATCTCATGGGGGTAAGGGAGGGAATGCCTGCAAAATGGTCAGCAGAGCTCTGAGCACATACATGGTAGGCAGGCAACACATTTGCTGTCGTTACTGATGTTGCTGTGGTTTGCTCCCACCACCAGTGGACAGCTATTTAGAGCTCTCCACCCCATTGTTTCTGACTTGACTTTGAATATTTTGTCAACCTCCCCAGCTCTCCCTTTTGAAATTGTATTTTGGGATATATTCTCCAGAAATGTGTGCTATTAGTTTGTTGTTAAAACTGACATTGCCTTGAAGTGATTGTGTTTATGTGCTTCTTCACAATATGCCAGCTTTGGAAACTTGACTTTTTTTGGACTTTGCCAGAGATTTTTTGGTGGTTCAGTAGCCACCTAACCTGATGTCCCTTATATCTGACCCTGTGTCCATCTTTCCTGCTGTTAAGACTGGCCCATTCTTTTCTAAACAGGGATTGCCAAGCTGAGAGGGGCTAGTAGATTTTCTTAATCCAAGTCAATATCATCAAGATATTTTGCTGAGTCCATCTGAAAAAGTAAATTCTAACAGAAAGCAAGGGTGGCTGGGATTTATGTGGAGTAGCATGCACGTTTTCCCACAG